ACTCATCCTCCTGGCCCCGCTCGCCATGGGGCTGCTGGCCCTCTCCTGCTGCGCAGCCCCTCTCCAGAGCAAGCCGCAGGCAGTTGTCACCTTCCCGGGGGAGCTGGTCAGCACCCTGTCAGACCTGGAGCTGGCAGAGGTGAGAGGAGCGTGGCGCCACGGCCCCCTCCTGCCACCCAGGACCCTGAGGGGCTCCCAGGGCAGCAGCATGAGGCTGCGAGCTGAGCTCAGGGGCTGCTGGTCTCCCTGTACCCCAGGAGGTGCTGGGGCTGGGGTTGGGCACCAGGGGCGTGCGGGGCCCGGGACTGTCCAAGCCCCCTCCTGCCTCCCTGAGCACCTCTGGCTGCCTTTCCTCCCCAGAGCTACCTGCTGCGGTTCGGCTACACCACGGAGGCAGAGGCGAGGACGGGCGACAAGCACGTGTCCCTGGCCAAGGCGCTGCGCAAGATGCAGAAGCAGTTGGGCCTGAAGGAGACGGGGGAGCTGGATGCCAGCACGCTGGAGGCCATGCGAGCCCCCCGCTGTGGCGTCCCTGATGTGGGAACCTTCCTCACATTCGAGGGGGACCTCAAGTGGGACCACATGGACCTGACGTACCGGTGAGTCTCTGCCCTAGGTGATGGAGCCTCATGCCCATGGGGTGATGGTGACCCAGGGGATGGAGATGGGTAGGAGGGCCCAGGCAGGGTGGCAGCCTCAGCTCAGCCCGTTGGCCATGCCTTGGCACTGCTGACACAGCTGGGTCTCGGTGCAACCAGGGCCAAGCCTGCACAACGGTAGCATCTGCTCCCTGGTGCCTGGGAGAGCATCTGAGCCCTGGCTTGAGGGTGGTGGCCGGCTGCTCTACCCTGCCATGCCAGCGCTGCTGTCCTCTCCCAGGGTGGGGGGCATCTCCCTGCCATGCGCCTGGAGTAGGGTCACTCCTGTGGCACAAGCTGGGACCTTGCAGCGCTGACCCCCAACTCCCCCCGGCAGGGTGATGAACTACTCCCCCGACCTGGATCCTGCTGTGATTGATGATGCCTTCAAGCGAGCGTTCAAAGTGTGGAGCGACGTGACCCCCCTCACCTTCACCCAGATATACAGCGGCGAGGCAGACATCATGATCATGTTTGGCAGTGGAGGTGATGTCTGGCAGGCAGGGAGCTGGGAGCTGGCTCAGCCACAGGGAGAGGGCTGGTGACATGCCCTGCCTGTGAGACCACCACCTCACATCTCCCTGGGCTGTGTCCCAACGTGCCTGGGGTCCCTCTGCCCGTGTGCATGCCAACAGGCATGTGTGCATGTGGGCACGCAGGCGGTGTGCAGGGCTCACACACTCAGGGGTCCGTGTGCATGCTGGGGGCATGGGGGCTCCTTTTGTGGGGCCGGCTCTGAGAGTACTTGTCCCTACAGAACACGGGGACGGATACCCCTTCGATGGCAAGGATGGGCTCTTGGCCCACGCCTTTCCCCCAGGCCAGGGGATCCAGGGCGATGCCCACTTTGATGACGATGAGCTCTGGACGCTGGGAACCGGCTTAGGTAATGGCAGGGCTCAATGGGTTGCAGGGGGCCAAAAGCATCTGCCCCAGCCCCATCGCTGAGCCGCCCCTCTCCTGACCAGTGGTGAAGACCCGCTATGGGAACGCCAACGGGGCCAACTGCCACTTCCCCTTCGTCTTCGAGGGCCAATCCTACTCCCGGTGCATCACAGAGGGGCGCACGGACGGGCTGTCCTGGTGTGCCACCACAGCCAGCTACGACCGGGACAAGAAATATGGCTTCTGCCCCAGTGAACGTGAGTAGTGGCAGCTGCAGCCCCTGCCCGGCCCCACGGGTGCCTGGGGCTGTCCTCACCCCTCCTCCCCCTGCAGTCCTCTACACCAATGGTGGCAACAGTGATGGGTCCCCCTGTGTCTTCCCCTTCGTCTTTGATGGCACCACCTACAACACCTGCACCACGGACGGACGCTCCGATGGCTACCGTTGGTGTGCCACCACCGCCAACTTTGATCAGGACAAGAAATACGGCTTCTGCCCCAACCGAGGTGTGAGCGGGGAGGGGGTCCATGGAGAGGGGGCACACGGGGTGGCTGGTCCCCAG